TATTATTAACTGATATTGAAAGAACACGTTGCACATAGGTTGAGATATAGTGAAATCTTAGGAACATATTTCCAGTAATTGTGCTTTAAAGTGTTAGAACGTAGCGTAGCGATGCATATCCCTTTAAACTTAAATAGCACATTGGAAGCGATATAGAAGCAAAATAGAGTGGGACATCGTACTCATGTTGTTCACAATATATACCCAATCATTCGTGAATTTGGTTTCGATAATCCATCCTTCCTCCATTACACGTATAGGATTCCTAATTACTCTATTCTCATCACATTAATTGCAGGTGATCTGAGTCAAATTAAGTCGTTACCTCTAAGAAGAATCAAATCTTATGTTATTTTGAATACTACTAAGGGAAACTCACGTGGTAGAAGGACATAGATAGTCTAGACAATTTACTGGAATGAGTTTAAAATGTCGCAAATATTTAGGAATCTTCAATGTGATTCCTGGATGACTATGCGATAAAACTAGTCGTATATCAATGAAGTCAGCCGTACTTAATTCGATTCGACAATCAGTACCGGTTAATTGAGCACTGGAAACACCAATGGCGTAGACGAACAAAACCACTGGAGTGAGTACTACAAAGAAAAAACATTTAGGTAGAATAAATTCCATGAATTAGAGGAGCAAAATCGTTGGAATGTGGTGGAGTCTAACTTAAATAAAGAACACGATATTTTAATAAGAGTTGAATGTGATTTCAATGTTACATGTGGTAATACTTAATGGGTACCTTTAATTATGGGACTTAAAATCATTCGAACTAAGAAATATGAGAACAGTAGGTATAGATACGTGAAAAATACTTGTTAAATGAGCATACAGAACTGATTTATGTTCAATTTTTGTTGCTTTGCAGAATAATATCTGTCATATGCAGCAAAGATTTACAACGAATGGAGGGCGGAAAAGCTCATTAACTAATTGGCATTGTTAAGAGGTTGAACGGTTGTGAAGCATTTCTCGGCACAGAACCCGTCTGCGTTGAGGTCACAGATGTGCTACTTAACGAGAGACCGCAACTAGTAATCAACTGTATGAATGAGTTTGACAGACCACTGCAATAATTTTTTATGACAATTGGGGCCATTCTGGGCTTCTGTATAAAAATTTATCTACTGTCAACAATAAGTCGGTTATTTTCTTGTTTTCGTTTAATTGGTGCTTCTCAATACTATGAAACCCGAAGATTTATCATTATGCAAGTTGTGGCAAGCAAAGTGATTCTAACCTCCCAAAGGTTTACCGCCTCAAGTCGGGTCGCGATGTACAGCGGGGGATTCGTCCCCCCTGGCAGGGTCTCACAAACTGAGAAGGAGACATACGTTTCCATCAGCCAGCTTAGCTAAGAGTAAATCAATACTAGAAACCATCACCGTCCAGGTATCAAAGTCGCATGCTGCCAAATAACCCTCTGATCTACAAGTGCTGCGATCGCCTGTGGTGGTGAAGACCTGGGGCAGACTTCGGCCAGGCTGCCCTCGAGATTCGAAGGAACCACAATACCTTAACCAGCAAATCTCCAAAAAATGGTGATTATGCTGGGCTCCGCACAACCACTGAGGAAGTGCCGTTCAAGTACCAAGTATCAAGTAGGTAAAGTGACTCTAAACAAACCTTAGGTTTACGTCCTCAGAAGAGCTTAATCCACCACCTGACTTCCTAGGCATTCCTGAACAACATTTCATCCAAGTCGTAGCAAATGCAAATGGTTTGATAAAATTGGTTGATCCGGTTTGAAGAATGTGTAAACGCGACAATGGCAAAGCCGTTGTAAAAATATGTGATAATACTGCATAAGAAAGCTACTGTAAAATGAAAATATCGTGTGCGAAACGAGCAAATGAGAAGATAAAAGAAAATTAATAGAAAAATTAAAGCAACATTAAGGTGGTGCGATAATTGGAAGACAAAATGTACTGAAAGAAACGTTGGAAATTTCCCTAAAGGTTCTTCATTGCCGAAGGATGTCTAATAAGCTTAAAAACCTTCATAAAACCTTAATAACCTTAAAACGAAGTCAATAAAATGTGAAAGAGAAAGCATCAAACACAATAATATTACTGTTTATATCACAAAATTACTATTTAGGAGCAGTCAGAATGAGATCTTATGACATTTAAGCTCTAGAATGGTGCTGACATAATACAAAATTGAATATTCAAACTACGTAACTATGCTATTTATCTGTCTTCTCTTCCTCTCGATTTCGCTTTCGCTAGACAACAAATTTGTCACTGAATAGTGCTGATTGGCCTTACTTTACTCTAATGGAAATCTAACAAGAGTAGACTATTTCGAATTTTTCCGCCATTCTTTGCCATGAGGCTACATGGTACATCGTTGAAACCCATCTACCGACATCTACTAGTCAATGAATTCGTGACGAAATCGTTAAGTATAATGGAAAACAAGTAGGAGTAAGCTAAAAAAAATAAAATGAAATAAGCTGTTCTGTAATTAACACTCACCTCAGGGAAGCCACAGCAATGTGTCACAATTTGCAGTCAATTGAGTGCTTATAACTCAAGATTTCCAAATACCTCTTAGCCATTCATATATTCTCATAATCAGATAGATGTATATCTAGAAGTTAAAGCTATAGGATCTATAACGATACGAAGAACTTTCCTTAAATAGGAAGCTGAAATGAGGAGCGGTAGATACGTTGGGTACATAGACGACTTTACAACAAAATCCTTGAGAGTTAACTGAACTTACTAAGACCAATCATGTCATTAATAGAAGAGAAATCTTGGAAATAATGTAATTAGACAATGATCACCTTTGACGTATAACAGCGAGTCGAACCTCTCACTTATAACAGTCGTGAAAAAAGAACTTGTTGCTTATATGCACAGCAATTCGTTTGTAAAGAAAATAGCTAACTAATATCGTCATGTCGATTGTGGTTGCCCACGAATGCCTAGTTGAAGTTAATACAATACTTGATACTTGATACTTGAACGGCCTGTCCTCACTGGTTGTGCGGACCCCAGCATAATCTCCATTTTTCGGAGGTTTGCTGGTTAAGCCATTATGGTTACCTGGAGTTTCGAGGTCAGTCTGTCCAAAGTCTGCCCCAGGTCTTCACCACCACAGGCAGTCGCAGCCCTTGTGGATCAGAGCGAGATTTACCACCATGTGACTAGTTCGATACTACCACGGTGGTGGATCCTGGTATTGGTTTACTTTTGGCTAGGCTTCCTGATGGAAATGCCGTACTCTTTCCCAGCTTGGTAGACCCTGCCAGTGGATGAATCCTGCGCTGTACATCACAGTCCGACACCCAGGAGCACCTCCCAACTACGAGGAGGCGATAAACCGTTGGGAGAAGTTAATACAATAGTTCCTCACAACCACGATAGTGAGAAAATATTTGATCGATACTTAGAATAACCAATGGAAATGAAACTGCGAAAACGTACCTTGTTTCTTAGTAAAACGCGTTGCTAACTTTCCAATCAGAACCGTCAACAACGCTTGCATAGTTCGATTAAGACCTTAACCAAAGTTTGACTAGTACTCTGTAGCCACTTGTTAGAAAATACAGAAAAATCTCTACTAAAACAGAAAGTGATTATATAGATTTAATAGCCGCATTTCCTGGAATCATTGGCTACTTACGCTTTGAAAGAACATAATTTCCCTTGATCTGTGTTGTCCAAACTTTTATCGGCACACGATAGATATCTCATACACATTTCCGACTTACCTGAATGTGTCATCACTCATTAAACGAAAATAGCGAGATATAACCACAATGATGCTGAGATATTTGCAAAACTTGAACCACAGACAAGAATCGAACCCACGATTACACTTCTCTGGGTCTTACGTGTTACCTATTTCACCGCATATTTTGCCTTTCTGTCGGCTTGTTTTTTTTCTTACTATAAAGGCTCAAAAAAAGCTGAAAGAAAGGTGGAGCATAGGTCTCATGGTGTAGTAGGTAACATGTACACCCCTGGAAGTGGTAATCGTGGGTTCGAATTTGGCCCGAGGTCGACGTTTAGCAAATATTTCAACATCACTGTGGTTGTATTTCACATAATACCCTGCTATGAGAAAAAAAACAACAGAAAATAGAAAGCTATGCGTTATCTGAATACAAACGTTTGACCCATACGCATTCTTATTGCTTCAAAATAATTTCTTAATGCGCTCTAAGCAAGCTGTATACTAGTGAAATAACATGTAAAAAAACTTACCTGAATACCCATGTTATCAATAGGAAACGCTCAGACTGGACACCAGGAACAAGGTGGTATATCCACTTGTTTCCTGCTTCCCCTTTTCTTCATCATTACCTTCTTACTATAAGCTAGTGGCAGAATCTTAGAAGCTTCTTACATAAAAGTATGTTTTACAGTGCTAGAATTATAACAAACATAACTCAGTATAACACAAAGGCTTACCTTGAAATATTGCCGTTGAAGAGGAGCTCTGTGGTACTCTCATGGATGACGAAACGTCCACAGTGGTCAAATACACTTTGTGACGGAGTGCCAATCAATTTCCGAAACACCTTTTGAATGTTTCACGTTAGTTAGGAGTTCAGTGGGTACTTTCCCATTCTCCCCCACGACTCATTAGCCAACAAGAAGAAAGAACACATAAAGACACATTGATGAAGTCATACCATTATGTAATTTAACCTAATGCTGCAAAGCAACGAATCAACCTTGAACTGCATCAATTGCTCCCTTTTTTGTTAATCCACTATGACCACCGACGATCACCTTTTCTCCACTATTAACCGAATATTTTCATTCATAAAATTTCTGCTACCTTCAGTTCACAATATTGCAGCAAGTTCAAAATTGTCTTAAAAATTATCTGGTGGGATGCAGAAGCAATTCTTAAACAAATACATTTATTCAACGAAAACGAAAGAACGGTAATTGGTATAAATGACTTCACATTCATTCAGGTATAACAACAAATACAGCGACGATCTGGTCATAATGACTAGTCTGTTATAGCCCTAAGGGTTCAGCACAGGGGTCTTCGTAAGACGGCTTCATGTATTCCTCGTTCTGATGAAGCCCTAAACAAAATTTCTTACTGCTGTATTTTTTCTGAAAATTTCTCCATTAGATTAATGGTAATGCTGAACTCACATTTCAGAACCTTCTCAAAAGAATTCTCCTGACATTGTTCCGGAACACAATATTTCGGATCAAGAAATCCACCACCACTAGCACTAGCTCCTCGTATCGGTTCGCTGTTATGACCACTCAGCTTTGATATTGTTGAGTTCACAGTGAGCCTCTCCATTGTACTTTTTACGAATGTTGACTAAGTACCGCTCACTACTAATAACAAAGTTAAATTACACTTTACGGAATAAATTGCAGAATATAGTGAAGAAACTGTCAGTACTACGACAAATTTTACAATCTTTACGAAAAAGTGATGACAACAAAAGAAACAACAAAGAATTACAAATATAAGAAGAAGAAAATCATGATTTCGCTTATGAATGCATCTACATATGTAAGCACTGACAAGAATAGGAAAGTATATGCGACTCGCGAGAGGAATGAGACTTGTCGAAAACGCATGTGATCATTAGGTTTCGTGTTTTAACATATTAGCAACATTTTGTTTGCTTGTACAAACGTGTCTATTCACCCCGCACATGTCTGCCTTTACTGTAGAGTAAAGTAGGCTGTAGTTAGCACTTCTTTCACTTAGTTCATCATTTATTAAATCGGAATGTCTTTCGTATTAGAATGAACATTCAGTAAGGAAATACATAAAGTTTGGATCTTGCCAAAATGTTTCATAGTGGGATTCTGAAAAAGAGCTTTTTCTTCCCATTCCAAGTGTTTCTTGAAGTATACGTGAAGTGTCTTCAGCCCCCATCGACAACATACATCGGAGGCTTTTCAAATTTTTCACGTTCGCTTGCTGTCATAACGATTTCAGCTTTTCTCTTGATATTTCTGGCAATGTCATCTTGTATTATTGTAGATAAATCGTCCCCTAGAGGGCAGGTGTAGCGGATGATGGTGCTCTGCAGTACCCATATGGTCACTGGTTTCACAACGTGGCCCTGCCTAACCAAACGCTCCATCGCTCCTCCGAAATTTGGAATCAGACTGAAAGAATAGAAACACCGGATAGATACATCAGCAGATCTCCTACAGTTATTTCCTAGACCGTGTGAATCCCTGTAAACTTCACGATGCTATGAATGCAGTTCAGTGCATGTGCACAAAGGACATATCAGTTCTGAGTTTTATAAAGGAAATTTCCGTACTATTTGAAATGAACGTCTTAAAATCAAGACTAAAGTCTTGTTGGGTTTCTTTACTGTTTTATCCTGTAGGTTTTGCCGTAGTTAACTTATTCTTAGTGCAATTGCAGAAACCGCACTAAACCAATGGGCCCCCACACGATTGCTTACTGCTGTATTATTAGTGGTGTTGTCGCTAGACTTTGTTCAAGGCCAATTCCTGTTCTTCTTTCCTCTGGTTTAATGTTGTGGACGGGAATTTATGAACAATAGTTCCTGCTAAACTTCTCTAATACCTCATTCATCATTTCGCTTGACTTTCAGAGAAATCCATACATTGTTGGATTTGCCGACCGCGTTAGATATGGTGAGCACTTTTGAGTGTTAGGGAATAATAACATAAACAACCTTCTCCATATCTAGTTCTATTCAGAGGCATATTCAGCAGTCTGCAACAGAAGTGTTGTCTTCATTATGTGAAGGGCAATCGCGTGAAGAAAGGTGTAAGACGTTAAACGGACATTTGACAGAAATCCAAAAGCGTTATGATAGCGTTCTGTCTGAGATCGTTCGAACCAAGACAAGTATCGAGGAAGCCAGAGTGAAGTATGTTCTCTTCCCATTTTTTAGAATGGTTCCTATACACTTTTCAAAGATCCTTTTCAAGATATGAGAACATGAATGACATGATCCGAACACTCGAACAGTTAAAGTGTAGTCTGGAGCAGCACATTCGAACTGTAAGGTTAAATGAAAGTTCATTTGCTGGAACATCCGCTGTTCTAGAATATGACGCAGCCAAGACACGTACCAACAATCTCATCAGTGTTATCAGGGTCTGCAGCTCCATTTCTTCGCCTGGACATTCTCTTTGTTCTTTTTTCTTTCCTTTTCCCAAGTTTGGTAAAGATGCTTCATGAGACCATCTATAGGCGAGGTCACAATGGGAGAGAGCTAAAGAGCTGCTGAAAGAAGAAGGAAAAGAAGACCAACGGAAAATGTATGAATGTCTCGCAGATATGCAAGCCAGTCAAGAAATTCTAGCCAAGGTTAGTAAGATTGAAGCTTAGCGAAATGAAGATAATTTATTCATTACAGTTTGTCTCGAAAGGCTTTGGCACTAAGGAATTCGAAGAAATGAAGGATCGTTTCCTCGCATGGCAGAGCGCTGCTTTAATTTTTGCCATACAGCAGGCAGATTTCGAGAAGTTAGCGGAAATTCAGAAAACTTATGAAAGTCTTGGCCGTAAAGATGATAAGTTTTCCGTACCTAGCATTTTATCTTCTGAATCAGTTTGTCGCTTCGAACTTCTCTGTTTCAGAGTTTATTTCTATTTTCCGTCGTGTTTCGATAAATAGACTACGGGAGTTCTCCTCAGATGGAACGACTATTCAGTCGATCGTTGCTTCTCTACACAAAGAACTGGAATTCGTTTTCACACATCACCACAAGTAAGCTGGAAGTCCTCCCGTTTTTTTTCTTGTACTAATTGTTCATCGTCCACGTATTGAAGAGTTCTTCGTCGTTTCCTCAATGATGACGATGCGACAGCTCTGCTCTCAAAAGCTATCGAAGAAGGTCTAAATGAGCTCGATCTTTCAACATCGATAACCAGTCTTATTTCTGCAGATGAAAATCCAGTCGGACTTCTCCAGAAGATCTCAAATGTTAGAAGTTCTTCATTTATTTTTCACTTTTATTTTATGCCTTTGTAATTGTGATCTTTAAGGTGCTGGCCACTCGATCAGAAGTTTCCTCGAAACTCACACAACTTGCTGATGCTCATTTTTACTTGAGAAACAAAATCATCCATGATCTCGTGGACCCATTCCGTTCTGCCTTGACTGCCTATCTATTGGCAAAGATCAATGCCTTTGATTTTGTGAGTTTTTCGCTAGACATTTTTTCGATATGCTATGCAGTTCCTGTATTTTTCAATGAATGACTAGCTTGAAGATTCTTTCATTGTTTTACGTCAAATTTCTGCACGTTGACTTCGATATAGGTGGTAAGTTTTATTGGTGTTAATTCTGTTTATACTTCCCAACTGTTTACCGTGTCATCGTGGCTGGGAGGTTTTTGGGTGTCGGGCTGCTATGTAAAATGTAGGGATTCATCCCACTGGTAGGGTCTCCGAAACTGAAAACGAGTCCGGCGTTTCCATTAGGAAATGCGCCTGAATGTGATCCAGTACGAGGGTCCACCACCGTCATAGTATCAAACTAGTCGCGTGGTGGCAAATCCCCTTGTTATCCACATGGGCGGTGACTGCCGTTTTCGTGACGGCTGTGGCCAGGCTGACCTCAGGACTCCATCGAAATACAATGACTAAACCAGCAAAGCTTCGGAAAATAGAGAATATGCAGATGCCTGCACAACCAGTGGAGACGGGTTGTCCAAGTGTCCAACTAAGTATTCTGTTTATAAATACTCTTAATATTTCAGGAAAAGGGATCGTTCCGTGCACGAGTGGGAGCGCTGAGGACATCAATCGCTGAGCTTCTCCATCTTGTGACTGATCTTTTCATTCACAGCGAAGTATTGTTCGGTGCCAAAGTAAAGGACGTTGTACAACAGCCTATTGATGTTAGGTTTAAATTTACCATCTTTTTTAAAATTGAAACCAAGTTCAGAATGTGAGCACGTTTATTTACTGGTTAATTTTAAGCATAAAACTTCGCACATCTATCATTGATGTTTGGAAGCAGTTCTTTCTTTACCGTTACTATTTTTGTAAGTGTAACAGAAGTCCAATTACATTAAATCCTATTCCATTCGACGCCGGGAAACTCATTGCTAATAATGTGTTCAGTTGTTTTACTACTCTCAAACACGCTTTCCAGAAAGCTCTTGAAAACTTTATGGTGAAGATGCAAATCTGGAAACCACTGATGGAAGCCGAGCATCGTACCCGTTCAATTGAGGACTTAGTTTCGGTGTGTGCTAGTTCCGGCCAACTTGTTTTCGGTCTTCAAGAGTTTAAAGCTATGGTGACTGGTGTTGAGCGTGAGTTATTTGTTTACCAATGATAACGTGCGATTTTGACGATGAAACGAAAAAAATTGGAGAGTTTTCTGTCTGCCTAATATGTGTTGTAGTTTCATAGAAGGTCAGTTCTGTCATGACATGTGGGTTTTACTAACTCCTCTTCCACTCATCTTATTCTCTCACAACTACTACTTATGGACGCGTCGTCCTTATAGACGAGCTCCTTTTGCGGCTGTATACGGTTGTACCTCTGCTGTAACGCTCGTTCAGCACACTTTTCGCTGGAATATTGAGATAGCCATGTTACGGCGTTCGCTTTCACTGTTTTTCGACTACTATTCTTCCAGAGTGGCAGCGATTGTGAAGCGAACAATTCAATATTTATCACTGGAATTGCAAACGTTAAAAATAATATGAGCCGACCTCCAAGATATTTCACTCTGTACAACAACAGTTCACTTTCTGTGTGGTTTAATGTGCACTTACTTACTTACTTGGATACTTGGACGGCCCGTCCTTACTGGTTATGCCTGCCCTAGCATAATCTCCATTTTTCGGAGTTTTGCTGGTTTAGCCATTGTGGTTCACAGGAGTCCCGAGGTAAACCAGGCCAAAGTCTGCACCATGTAGTCACCACCATGTCACTAGCCGCCCTTATGGGTCAGAGGGCAATTTGCAATCATGCGACTAATTTGGTACTAGGACGGTGGTGGATCCTGGTATTGGTTTACTATGAGCTGGGCTTCCTGATGGAAACGCGGGACTCAGCTTGCGAGACCCTGCTGGTGGAATGGATATCCCCTCAGTACATCGCAACCCGGCACCCAGTAACGTCTCCCAGCCACGATGAGTCGGTAAACCGTTGGGAAGAATGTGCAGTTATGAAGTACAAATGAGTTTGCTGGCAATATGGTGTGTTTTAAGCATGCGTTTGTTGTCGATAGATCGATAGATCGATAGATAGATGTCGATAGATCAACTTGTAAGTTTGGCACGCAGTTTATATTACTATTATGTTATATTACTTTATTATATTATATTTATATTATATCACAAGCTGTCAAATTTGCATTTATTGCTGCTACTGGTGAACTTGTTTGTTTAGCATCATTGTCTCCCAATATCAAAGAAGCGTTGAAATGGAATCGTTTTATTTGCAATTTTGTTATCAGAGCTGCAATCGACAAAGTGGTCTACAAAATGAAGTTGAGAATGAATGAGATTGTGAGTCTGACTCAGTGTTTATTATGTCTATGTTCTTCTAAAATTTAACTTGATTTTTTATAGTTCCTTTGTTGTTCTTTTCGCTGTTTCACTGATCAAGAACTTTTCTTTCATTGTAGTTATAGTTTCAAAGTTTGTTTAATCGTAAACTGAACTGAACAGTTTGATATCCAAGACATGATATTTGCCGAAGGGGAAAGACGGCGTTAGAGTTTTAATCATAAACCGATGCTTTCTGAAATTTCCTCATAGTAAGTTATCACTACTTGACATTTGGACACTTAGATGGACCGGTCCTCACTGATTGTGCGGGCTCCAGCACAATTTCCATTGTTTCGAAGGTTTTGCTGATTTAGTCCCTAGGATTCTTAGGAGTCCCGGTATCAGCCAGGCCGTGGTCTGCCCCGCGTCGTCACCACCACAGGCAGTCGCCACACTTGTGGATCAGAGGGAGATTTACCACCATGCCACTAGTTTGATACCAGGGCGGTGGTGGATCCTGGTATTGGTTTACGTCCAGCTAGGCTTCCTGATGAAAACGACGTTCTCCTTCTCAGCTTGAGATACCTTGCTGGGGGCAGAAAACTGGTGGGAGTATGCTATA